CACGCTGTTCCCCTTCCTCGATGTCAAACCTACCCGCCAAACTTTATGCCTTGCTGCTTCCAGTTCTACTCTCCGAATACATATCTTGATCTTTAGTTACGAATACCCTGCCACGATGCACTGAAGGATTTGTGAACTCCATCCGTGTCCACAATATCAAGATGGGAGATAGTAGCAAAGATTATGCTAGTGCTGTCTGCAAGAGCTGCTGCATGAAGATTAATTGAGGTCACAGTAAGGCCTCGATGTGCCTAGAAGAGCACATCAAGTTTGTAAGTCACATAAAGTGAAAGCCATGCACTATCTGAATGTGAAACTGAAGACAAGAACGATAAGAAAAATATGCACATAGTGTACTACATTTTGGAAGAAAATGCTTTAAAGAGCGCACATGGTCAAAGCATATCCAGTAAAAAGACCCGGTAAATCTTTACCTGTATATATATTCGCTGATAGAAGCCTAAAATTTCATTTTCAAATAAAAACTGAAGAAGGTATGCCGTATTAAAAACAAACTAAGTGTTGAAATGCTGGACCCCCTTTATAGGGTAACACTGAAACCGGCACACTACTAACTTACAGATCATAAAGGCACAAATCGTGGTACAACCACTCGATGATCCTGCCCCTGCACGATAAGTGGTGTCCCTTCTTGTGCTTTCCAAGGGACTGCACAATGTCCAAGGGGACTGGAGGGAAACTGTATGTCGATCGGTCCTTCACGGAAACTCTCGACGGTCCGGGGGCTTCTTGGACGATGACGTCCATGACCCTAGATATACCAGTTGAAGCAACAGATGAGCTACACCGTTTAAAGATGCCATTTCTCGGACGACGACTTGCTGATGTTTCGTCTGACAATGTTGACACAAAGACTTGCAGGGAAGAGAAATGTGCCATACTTTGGGAAAGTAAAGGCAGTGAATTCACACTACCTTAATATATATATCTGACAAATCGCAAGACACAGAAAACTTCCTGTTGTGATTTCTGGTGCTCTATAGCATCAGAACTCAATCAAACACATGGATGAACTACTGTATGTAGCACAGACAATAGTGCCAGAGAGCAACAATAAACATATCTGATGGCTTAAAACTACCTGATGTGTATAATATTATCCTGTTTAGAGTCTAATTTTACTCTGCACGAAAACCTCATATGATATAAAGTGTGGCAGGCAACAGAATTCCATTCCACTTAAAGGAACTTTCAAGCTTAAAAGCCTGTATTACAGAAAAGTAATGTATGTCTATACTACCATAAAAATGCCAGCAAAATGTCAACTCCAAATGCCAATCATTCATAACTGAAATTGCCTCTGAACGTAATTGTAGAGTATTTCGTCACTTCAAGGCTGTGGAAAGTATGACTATAGCAGAGATACGATCTACTGACTTGATTGCAGCAAGCACTTAGCACAACCACTGAAAGTCTCAACTAGCTCCAAAGACGTAGAGGAGCTTAAAGCGATAAATCATTCACCAAGCAAAATGACCCCACCCCCCGGCTGCCCGCATGTTGTACATTTTCTTGACACGTGACTTCATGAAAACTGTGACGACAACAACAAAAACATAGCGCTTTTTTCCTGTGACACACTGGGTGCCACCAACTTTTCGCTGTTATTGTCTCGTATTTGGTGTCAAGGTCAAGAAAATGTACCAGGGGGTTACTTTTGCCTACCAGATCATTGTTCTAAGCCCCTCTACCTCACTGACTAGCTCCGACAGTGCACATACAGCGGAGCATATCGAGATCAGGAGACGGCACCTCCTCATCTTCAATAATCACACCCTAGAGAGCTGTCCTGTGCTCAAGTGTGCTTATTGCCACATGTGAAAGCTGAGCGAGTTTAAAAAATTACCTGCCCGTGATCAAACCACCTGGACCCAAACACCTATTGCAATGCATGCAGTGCTTCCAACATGGTGCTGCAAGGTGCCATGAAAACCTAATATCTATGTTTGCAGGGGTAGCGGGCAGCAGGGGTAGAGGCAAGAGCAAGCCACTGCTGCCACACTACCCTCCTCATGCCCCTTCTCGTGTATTGCGCCACTTGCCGTTGCCAGCCAAAGCCAAAATGACCAATGTGCCAACTGGTCTATGCAATATAATGGCGAGAGCAATATCTAAAGGGGGTGGATTAGAGAAGGCCTGTTACATATGGGCTTTTGGAATGTGTGTAAAAGTTCCAGTGGTTGTCTTAGAAAGCATTTTTGCCCACCTGTACTGCGATGCATCCTGCACAACTGTCAGCTGCGCCTTATCTTGGAGGACCATGTCCTCCATAAGATCAACGTCGGTGCCGAATCCAGCATGGTAAACCTTAAAAGACAAATAAGATAATGCGCTCACAGGTGCAAATGAAACTGTTTGCATGAGCTGCAACGGTGAAAGGATATGGTTGAACACCATGCCTCTTCCTGCAGCAGATCATGCAGACCACTCAGTAATACAGTGGAAAGCCACTGCACTTCAGTCGTGTCATTGTCTGCTGACCAGCTAAATCATCCACCAAGATTGTGCCGCAGCCTTGTACTGGGACACAAGTGCCTAAGCTACTAAAGAGTAAGATGTTCACATTGTAATGAGACAGAATACACAAGGCATACTTTTTGTTTTTACGGAATATTTGTATGCATGAACCCCAGTGTGATAATGCAATAAACAAGTGGTTGCTGCCTCAAAAGCACTTGCGTCCAAATGTCGCTGAAACTGTGCCAATCGACATACCTCGAGCTGCTTGAGTCCAATCGTACATAAGGTAAGGAGCTAGATATCTGAAGGGGCATGATTTAATCTATATGCATCATCACCCCATTAATACGACACTCGAGCAGCACTACCTCACACTAATAATGATCACACAATGCATGGAGATGATTGGAAGAACTGCGACGGAACTGGCTGTCAACGGACGGACCTGGGAGTATTTGTGCTTCCATGGGCTTAACAATATAGTAACGTTGACTGGAAAGGGCAACCTCAAAGCTCAACGAAGACTCCACATGGAACACAGCCGCACATCTCTCAACTGCGCCATGCGCCTCCCGGCAAAGACATTTTCTTTTCAGATTTTTGCGACGATTAACAAAACAAGAAAAAAAAAAAGCAACCTACATGATCACTACATGGGGACCAGCGGTAATAGCATCATCATCACTACCACCACATAAAAATAACTATGATGATGATCACAGTTGGGGTACTCGGAACACAGGTGCTGATAAGGGCTTCCCTCAGAGTTCTGGACGTGGCTTCACGGTGAATGCACAATGAGGGTTCTTAATACAGTCTTGCGTTTGCAGCGAAGCATCCACGTGCAACCTCAACTATGGTCCCTTTGCCGAAATAACTGGTGGTCCAGATGTCGGGCGGATCTAAATAAATTGCAAAAAATCAGATTCGTAAGCTACCCATATAAGTTCGGCTTGTGGTGGATTTACTTGTAAGATTATAAAATACTTACCTCAGTCATAAGCTATGAGGGAAAACAAGTAAATTCCTATGTTCTCCAATGACACCAATAAAGTGACTCCGTGGGCCATTCATACATTTAACAAAAAAAAAATGCAAAGAAAGACTTTCTCGCCTTGTTATCGATCCTTGTTTTTGTCTATAAAACGCTCCATGGGCCAACAAGAATGTTTTCTAACTTTAAGAGGAAAAGGCTTCACCTGAAGCCGGCCCATAGAACTTTTGTTTTTACTTGGAACTTTTAAATAGGGCAAGTTTTTCTTTAATATTTTCACAAATTAAATCCACCACCTAGACGAAGTGGTGTGGTAAATTACAGTGTCGTAGCTTGCAAATCTGATTTTTTTTTTTTTGCGACTTATCGAAGTCTCGGCCCGACATCTGGACCCGGACGTCCAGTGGTTGCTGTACCTTATATATGTCCTGGGCACGCGCCGATCAATAGAGGCGAGAAATAAAGGGAAGACAAACACAAGGGCGGAAGAGTCGTCTTGTCCGTCCTTGTGTTTTATGTTCTTCCCGTTATTTCTAACTAGTAATTACACTTACCAGCACGCTCTCCATTCAAAGTATCTAATCATATTCCCTGCATGGGAGACGTAACGCCTGAATAAATTGTTGTCACTGTCCAATGTAGGTGAATTTTTATTAGACCCAGCTTTGGAAACGTTGCTTAACCGCCTTGGCATAAAGAAATCGAAAGCATGATAGGATAGGATAACCTCTCCATAACTTGGTTTTGGGAACACCGCACGACACCCTCCACACAAAGAAAACAAAACCATGCTTACCAGGATGTCGCTTGATTGGAGGTCCAGCCCCTGGAACGCTTCTTTATGCGCAAGGCTTCTGATCAAATCGGGGCGCCTGCGCTCTCCTCCCACAGTGACCACGATTTTGCGTTGGCCGTAACGCACCAAGCACTCGATCGCATCCATTTCAAGGAGCACGTTAGCACACCAGGATCTAAACCGTGCTGAAACCACGACCGGTCGTGGCTGAACCGCTGAACCAGCTAAAGTGACTTGGATTGGACTGGATTGGTTTGACAGGTGGTGTTGGTTTGGTCCGTTTGCCCCCCCCCCCCCCCCCCCCCCCCCATGGGACAATTGGATTTATAGATTTATGTTCCTGCGAATTCACGGCATTTATTTCTTTGTTCGTTGTAGTACAGTTTAAATATTTAACACCCGAGTCAATGTAGGACAGTTTAAATATTTAACACCCGAGTCACTTAGCGACCGAATCACTGTAACTCCGCACATACATCCACAAAATCCACTGTCATTTTTCAAAATTGAAAATAAAGCATCCAGCGGTGTGGATGTTATAATTTTTTGTGTGTGCTTTGTATGTTCAGCTGATCCGTTCGTAATAAAATAAAGCTATCATCATCATGAAATAAAGAAAATAAAGCTATGGCCGCTGCTCTAGGTGCTGTATTGTACTGCTGAGCCCACTGGTCAAACTAGTGTTATGGTGTTTGCAAGCTGCCCTTTCTTGCTTGGTCTCTGTGAAAAATGGCAGTAAGGTACTGCCCCAGGTGTCCGTACTTTTTTTAACAATTCACGAAAGTGGTGAATCATATTGGGATCGTGCATGGCGGTGATGCTAACTTCACAATCTTCTGTGGAATCGGTGGGTGCACAAGTAGCTACACGAAGTTTGCATCATACAGATCCCATCTCTACCGGTGCCACAGGGACGTCCTGCTTGACACTGGAAGCAACCTAAGCACCAAAACGAGGGATGGAGACGCTCAAGACCTCGGAGACAACGGCGCTAACGCCGACGCTGAAGCAACTGCGGAGCCAGAAGAAGCGTCCTCCGAAGAAAAAGACTTCGTGGATTTCTTGGCAGAAGCCAGAACAGCGATCTGGAACTTCTTCTTTAACATCACTGAGAACCACAAGCTGGCTCACACAGTGGCAGAGAAAGTCTTCAGCGACCTGCAAATCGTCTTTGAGCATGTCATGAGGGGCTTCGCTGATGAGATCGCAGCCAAGGTTGATCTGTCAGCCCTGCCTCCTGATGTGCTCTCACTTCTCAGGTGTTCATTCGTGCCAGAGCTTTTCGAAGGCATTCAAAGCAAGCATCTCCGTGAACAATATGTCAAGGCACATACTCCATATGTTGAGCCTAGGACATGTGATCTTGGCTCCGAAGGGGACAGGTACCACTATGTGCCAATTCCAAGGCTTCTTGCAAAGCTGTGTGAAAATCCTGACATTGCTGCCCGACTCATCACGCCGCAAGCAAGCCATGGTGAACCCGAGGTTTACCGAAGCTTCTCAGATGGGCTCCTTTTCCAAGACTTATGAGTCTTATCCCAGATGGGGCCCAGTACACAATTTTCATTTTGTTGTACAGTGATGAAGTGGAGATTTGTAATCCCCTGGGACCGAAGCGTGGCATGCACAAGCTACTTGCTGTGTACTTCACGTTGCTGAACCTACATCCAAGACACAGGTCGCAGCTACGGTTCATATACCTAGTGCTCCTGGTGAAGTACGACGACGTACAGAAGTATGGTTTGGACAACGTCCTGAGCCCCTTGATCAGTGACCTCAATGAACTGCAAGCATACGGACTTAAGTTCATGAGCAAAGAAGCAGCACAAAATGCACTGGTCTTTGTATTCTGTGTATGTGGTGACAACTTGTCTATGAATCGCCTTGGGGGCTTCTCATGTTGCTTTAGTCGGGGCAGGGTGTGCCGGTTTTGTATGGCATTATCTGAAACATTGTCAGTGATAACAACAGAGGATTTCTGTACCCTGCGGTCGGCTCAGGCACACGAGCAACATCTGAAAGCTGTGGCTGTGAACCCAAAGTTAAATAGAAAACTGTATGGTGTGAACGACCGCTCCCCAATGCTGGAGCTGCCATACTTTGACGTGACGCGACAGTTACCCCCCGACCTCATGCACGACATTCTAGAAGGAGGCTTCGAGTCCGTTCTTCGCCCAATACTGAAGGCGTTAGTTGAGGGAGGGGTGCTGTCGTACAGCGACATGGACCGCATCGCTTCCTTTGCATATGGGTGGAACGACAAGAAAAACAAACCCATCGCAATGAACAGAAGCTTTCTAACAAGCAAAGCAAACTTGAAGGAAATTGCATCAGAGAAGTGGTGCCTTCTGCGACTCCTGGGTTTGATTCTTGCCGAGCTGATTCCAGAAGGTGACGCGGACTGGGAATTGTTCCTCCAGTTTCGGGAAATTGTTGACATCAGCTTTGCTTCTGTCGTGCCCAGCGGGTACCTTCCTTGCTTGGAGACAACTGTGCAAGCGTTTCTTGTGGAGTTTGCGCAGCGGTATGGAAGCACAGCCATCATTCCCAAGCTTCATTACCTCATTCATTATGCCAGAATGATTCGTGAGGTTGGACCACTACAGCAGTTTTGGTCTATGAGGTTTGAAGCCAAACATCAATATTTTAAAACCCTCGCCTCACGGATCAAGAACTTCCGAAACATAACTCTGACCTTGTCCAAACGACATCAGCTAATGCAAAGTCACCAGCTCAAGGAGCTGTCATTAGATGCTCAGCTCATGGCCCCATCTGGCAAGCCTGTTGACCAGAGTGCTCTGCCACCTTCTGTTCAAGACGTGCTGCCACTGAATGCACGCCAGGTGTCGCATGCAGCAATCGACCACCGCGAGTACCGGTGCGGTGATATCCTTGTGAAGGCTGCACAGGACGTTGAACCAGAGTTCTGTGGAGTTCAAGCCCTGTATGTTGCATCAGGCAAACTGTTCATTTTGGTTGAGTTGTTAACCAATGAAGGCTTCGACAGGCACAAGTTTTGCCACCGTGTGGGCAAGTCAGGGCACCTAAAACTTGTGGACGCTGATGATGATCAGACGCTCCACTGTGCTCTAGATCTGTATAATGGTAGTGAGGTTGTTGTCAAATGGGAAGTGCTTTAAGCTTTTGTATGCTGCTGTTGTGGTCAACCTGTTTCAAACATGTGGCAGTAGAAATAAACATGAAGTGTGGTCCACACATGGTATCTACAAGAGTTTGTTGGCTGATTGTTATCTGCACGACAACTTGGTGCATCTAAAGCACAAGCTCACTTTGGAACCCAGAAATCTGGGTTTTACTTGCACCCATTATGTTCAATTTGGATCATTATACCAGCACGCAGTTTTGCCATCGCTACTGTGTGATGAATGTTAAACACCTGCAGCAGTCGTCTTGCATTAGCTAAATTGCTCATCTCTACGGTGAGACAGTGCCGCCATACAAAGGCAGACTAATCGCACACTATCAATATCCAACAAGTAGAGTACTGCGTTTTCATATAAATCTGATAAAACCTTTGCAACATCCGCTGGTAAAAATATTGTGAACTCTGATATATGTATGGTTCTTCGTTTTCGGGTAAAACCCAATATTACTTAATTTTTTCACCCTAAACAGGTGTTATGAGAATTGGGTCAAACCCGATTTCTTCCCAAAAGTCGGTCTTTACAGCAACTAAATTTATAAAAAATTGTGAAGAAACTATATCTCTTTCGTATCTGTTTTTCCAGTCATTCATTTGATGGTTACAAACACCTTGGATTGGTGTCATCTTGGCATAGATTCACTTCGAAATGGGCCAGAAGGTGGAAAGGTACTGTGTGCTCAACCACCTTGGCTATATCGTAGACATTTGTTGACTTTTTTTCATGTGAATAACAAATTTTGTATATTTTCCCATTGCTTAATAAGGCCCGAAAAAACCCGATGCTTCCCCGATTATGAGTCTGAAAAATAGCACCCTATTTTATACCCTGATTTCTGAAAAATATAAAACCCCAAAAACGACAAACCCTAGATGCCTGAAAAACCTTGAATTTTGGAACTGCAAGTTGTAAAAGCCAAACTGTTCTTTATTATTTTCTGGAATTGTCAATCAACTTTCGCAATGAATGTCTCTTTCTCTGTTTGTACTTTTCTCTGTACGCGTCACAAAAATGTCCTTCGGCTTCTTGTGAGAAGGGTGAAGCCGTCTTGAAGATGCACTGAAAAGGTTTCTGAGATTGTCTCTTCTTGGTGATAACTCCTTCTACAGGCTCTAAGCATTCTAAAAACCCAAAAAATATGTGTAAGTGACGCTTTTTTTCCTACTAAAATGTAATTTACGGGACACGCCCCTCTTGAGCAGAACTTTCCGCTCTGGAAGAGTGGCACGTAATCCAGCCTAGCTCGAGATCAGGGCGACAACAGTGCTCGTCAGTTGTCCGTAAGCCGCTGTTGCATTAGCAGACGATGCAGCGTCATCTGCTATTGGAACGGTGGCTTACGGTTGGCTGACGAGCCCTGTTGTTACCCTGACGTCGAGCTCGGCTGGATTATGCGCCAGCCTTCCCGAGCGAAACGTTTGCTCAAGAAGGGCTTGTCCCAATCGTAAATCACATTTTAGTAGGGAAATAAGTGTCGAATCACCATAATTTCTGGACTTTTAGGATGCTTAGAGCCCGTAGAAGTTAACACCAAGAACAGACAATCTCGGAACTCCCTTTAGTGCGCCTTTGCATTGCTCTCAATGCCTTCAAGTGCGAATTTGGCGTCAGTGAGCTGAATTTTTGGGGAAATTCAGTGGACAAGCATGGCATTCATCCTCTCGAAGACAAGGTCAAAGTCATCAGGGACATCCTTCAGCCGCAAACAACGAGGAAACTCCGCGAGTTCCTTTGGCTGATCAGTTTATACAGGAAATTTATTTCCCACTGTGCAGCGATCATCCATGCAACTCAACAAACTTTTTATTGGCAATCCCAAGAATTTTACAGCAATCTAGTGGAATGAATCAGATATCCAACCTTTTCAAGCAATAAAGGAAGTGCTCGCTAAGGCACTGCTGCTGTCCCATCCCAAAACCAACGCACCGATTTCCCTTGTGACAGATATGCCTTTGATGGAGTGGTAGGAGCGGTCCTCCAACAGTTCACTGCTCCGACTGGCAACCGATTTAATCTTTTTCGAAACAAATGACTCCAACCGAAATGTGTTGCAGTATGTTTGGGCATAAACTGTTGGCTAGATATCTCGGCGTGAAACACTTCCACCATTTTCTTGAAGGACGTCAGTTTGCCGTCATGACAGACCATAAACCCCTCACTTACGCCTTAATATCCAACAGCTCATCGTACACCGCAAGGGACGTTCGTCAGATGGCATACATATAAGAATACCCCAGCGACATCAGATTCATTAGGGGAGAGAAGTTAGAGAACAACAATGTCGCCGACGCACTATCAAGAATAGCAGTCAACCAGTGCAACACGGGCCGATTGCCCATCAACTTCAAGGGCCTTGCTGCCGCACAGAACGACGATCAGGAGCCTCAACAGCTTTGCTCTACTTCCACGTCATTGGTCCTGGACGAAATCAATCTCCCTGAATCTGAAGAAACACTTGTCTATGACATCTGTACTGGTCATCCTCGGCCCTACGTAGCGACACGCTTTCGACAAGGTGCTTTTTAACGCCCTCGACTCGCTCTCGCACCCCGGGATACGCAAGTCGCAGCGTCTTGTGTCATCTCGATTCGTGTGGCCAATGGTGAACACAGATATTAGGAACTTTGCAAGGACATGCTCACAATGTCAACGGGCTAAAGTCCACCGCTACGCTGTAACTCCTGTAGGATGTTCAAACTTCCGGATGCGAGGTTCAACAATGTCCACTTGGACATTGTAGGACGTACTACCGTCACACGACCATCGCTACTTACTTACGTGCGTTGACCGGTTTTCCAGGTGGCCAGAAGCAATGGCTACAAAAAACATCCCCGCAGAAACCGTGGCTCACACGTTCATCACAATATGGGTCAGCCATTTCGGAGTACCATGAACCACAACAACAGACACACAGTTTGAAAGCGCTCTGTTTCAAAAACTGTCTTCCATACGAACCACATCAGGATGACAGCCTACCATACATCCCCAAATGGCCTAGTGGAACGATTCCATAGACAACTGAAAGCCGCGATTCGGGCACACGACTTAACAGGACCATGGACCAAAATTCTTCCACTGGTACTGTTAGGCGCCCGGACCGCAGTCAAAGTCGACCTTCAGTGCAGCTCAGCTGAATTAGTATATGCCACGACCCTTCAACTTCCCGGAGAATTTTTTCACACCGAAAACAAACAGCAGTGTATGGACACAGATAATTACGCTGACCGACTACGCTTGACTCTGAAGAACATCCAACCAACCCCACCAGGAAAACAGTCGTGCAAAGTTTTCGTCAGCCCTGACTTACAACACCGCAACCATGTATTTGTGTGCAACGACAGAGTGAAGCATATCCTCTCCAGCGTCCTTATGATTGACCATATTCCGTTACTGAATGTCACGACAAGACCATGACTTTGTCTAGGAACGGTCGGTAAGAAGTCGTCTCGCCCGACCGACTTAAACCAGCTCATCTGGCTAACAACAATCTAGAACCTTCCGAGAACTTCATCGCCACCACACCAGTAACACCAGTAAAATCACTCATCTCATCGAGCTCACCTCACTAAGGGGGGGAATCCTGTAGCGGCTCTCAGCAACGCGTGGAAAAGGAAGTCGATGGACACCGGCCGGCTTCCACGATGTTAGCACCCGACATCGTGTCAAGCGACTCCGCTTTATTTTGCCTTTGTAAATATGTAAAATGTAAATAAATTAGTTCAAAGTGGACAAGCCCCTTTCAGGGTGAATGTCGTATTTTAAAGGAAAGGAGAAAAGGTCAAAGAGGTCAAATTAGCTGTGCGAGTTTATACAGCGTAAGGTTGGTCAGCCTTTTTATCCTGGCAACACTGGTTCATCCTGTAGAAAATTAGGCCAGTGCGGTACGACTGCTCGTAGACTGGGGTCATGTGTCAGGCTCACGAACGCATGGTTTGATGCTCATCCAGATTGAAACGATCAGGGTCACAGTGGCGATGAAACATATTTCAATAAAAAGTTGTCCATGAAACATGTTGACAAAATATGTGTCGACGTGAATATAACGGCTGATCTCAAAGAAGCATACTTCATAGAAAGCAAAGCGAAGTCTCACCCTTGCATTCAAAGAAGTGACGTGACTTAAACTTGACTCGACCTTAGCTTGCTGCCATTTTCTACTTGACGCTAGCGGGCTTCTGAAATCCTTCAGAAGCCTTCTGAAATTCTGAAAACCTAAGACAGCTCTTCAAGTCCTGAAATCCTTTAGGACTTGAAGACCTGTCTTGAGGCAAACTTAGTTTGATTATAGTTCTCAACAAGACAGCTCTTCAAGTTCAGGAGGATTTCAGAAAAAAGCTAGCATCAAGTAAAATATGGCAGCAATTCAAGTTCGAGTCAAGTTCAGGTCAAGTCTAGATTTATGAATACAGGGGTCAGTTTAGAAAAACGCTGTCTGAAGATGGCGGAAAGGGCTTCCAGACGGACCGCACTTTGGTCACCGTCCTCTGTCCCTCCAGGACAATAAATACCCTCTCTAGCTTGAGCGTGCGCCATGAAGGGTTTACTGCCAATTAAGGCTATTAAATCAAAAGAAGATGATACAGGATGCTAATGGCCCCAATTTTTTTTTAGCGAAGTTAAGAGAGGGAACTAGTACAGCAATCGCTAAAACGAGCATCAGTAAACTGGACTGGGACCGGACATTTCATCGAACGTCGTTTCGTCAAACGCCGTTTCATTGAAGCCGTTTCATCGAATTCCGTTTTATCGAACGCCGTTTCGTCGAACACCGTTTCATCGAAGCCGTTTCATCGAACGCCGTTTTATCAAATGCCGTCTTATCGAACGCCAGGGTGGCATTCCTGCTTCCTGAAGCTGGTCGGAGGTACCCATCCAGGGTTCTGGAAGTTTTTGACTTGTATCGTCGCAGAACATCAATTGACGGAAGACAAGCTGGAGGCGATGCTGTGTACCCAAGAGCCTCCTCGCCAGAAGAA